TCACATCAGGTGGCCAAAGTATTGGAGCATCCCCTAACCCCATCAAAAAAAGAACTTTGGGCCTAAGAAGTACTCCCAACTGAACATTCAGGAGGCAGGATAGACTTGTCTATGGGATGAGGCTTGGCCGCCAGCTTCACGTCTGAAATTTTCCTTACCCGGCTGACGCTGAGAGCTCCCCTGGTGGCTCAGATGGTGAAGAATCTGCCTGCAATGCGGAAAACCTGGGTTTGATCCCTGGATGAGGAAGATGCCCTGGAGAAGGGAATGGCAACCCACTCCAGCATTCTTGCCTGGAGAATTCCATGGACAGAGGAGCCTGGCAGGCTACACACCACGGGGTCACAAAGAGTTGGACACGACCGAGCAACCGACACACACAGGCTGACACTGGTCTGTGTATTTGCCATTAGCACTAAAATCAAGTAAGTAAAACTTGAACCAGCCAGGAGTATCCTATTAAGCTTTACTGGCCATTTATGCCTCGGTGTGAATGATATACTCAGAGCCTTTCCCGAGGTAGAGTGTGAGAAGATCCCAGTAGCCAGACACATAAGACAGACCTCCAATGGGGAAGAGGACACAGGTAGGACAGATGAAGGTGCCACAAATAAACTGATGCACTCCCCCAGCTCTGGTTGTGACTAGCTTGCCAAAGCCTACCCAAGCTCCTACCCCTGCCCCTAGCATGCTGGCCCGTGTCCTGGTCCCCTCTCTTCCCAGACTGGTACCAGCTGTCAGACCCACTAGCATCTCCTGACCCTGCCTCTGGCTGACTCCTCTTTCACCTTCTCTCTCTACAGATCTCTCCATCCCTCACTGATTTTTTTTCACTCACTTTTCATGTTCTTGTTTTGTGTCTTTCACTTTCTCTCACACTATATCTTATTTATTTTCCTTTTTGCCTTGTTTTTCACCTTCTCTCTTTTACTTTCATTCTCTTGTATTTCCCTTTCACTGTCTCTAATTCCTTTTGTGCTGCAGTACTCAGCACACCCTTGCAGAGCACGGTGTCTCCTTCCATGGCCCTAAGTCTTTTTTTTTTTAAGTCATATTACATATTGATTGATGGATTGATTGATTGATTGATTTGGCTGTGCCGGGTCCTGGTTGTGGCCTGGGAGCTTCCATTTTCATTGCAGGGTGAGGGATCTTCAGTTGCAGCATGTGGGATCTAGTTCCCTGATCAGGTATCCATCCTGGGCCCCCTGCATTGGGAATGCGGAGTCACGGTCACTGGACCAGCAAGGAGGTCTCCCTTTTTTGATAGCTTGCACTGGAACAGAAAATTTTTTTTTTTATTTTGATTTTTATTTATTTTTTTTTCCTGGTAAAAATATAAATTTATTTTTTTTTTCTTTTTTTCTTTTTTTTTTTTTTATCACAACCATAGTGTATCTTTTTTTTTTTTTTTTTTTTACATGTATTCCCCATCCCGGTCCCCCCTCCCACCTCCCTCTCCACTCAATCCCTCTGGGTCTTCCCAGTGCACCAGGCCCGAGCACTTGTCTCATGCACCCAACCTGGGCTGGTGAACTGTTTCACCCTAGATAATATACGTGTTTCAATGCTGTGGAACAGAAATTTTTGTTCGTGTACACGCCATACATCTGATGAGAATCCACACCTTTTCTTCTTTTTTCTCTCTCCTGCCTTTATTCCTTTCCCCACGTCCACTCTTTCCCGGTCTCTCTTCTGTGCCTGCCTCCTCCTCTTTCTTCTCCTCCCTTTCTCTCCTTCTCTTCCCCCATCCTCTTCCTTTCAGCTGCGTGAACATCTCAATTGCAGCACGTTGGCAGATCTTGCCGGTCTGATATTTTATACTAGGTGCGTCTGCTTTAACTATTCCACTGAAAAATTAAACCCATCTGCCCCAAACTGAAAACAGCCTCTCCCCCACCAGGGACAATAAATATTGATGACTCGAGGCCTGATTGGCTTTAAGATGTTTGATGACAACTGGTATCAGTTACAGAACTTACATCATTTAATAAAAAAATGAAAAGCCCTAGCAGGGATGTTGCATGTCAACAGACATTATTAAATGTCAAAAGAAATACATTTCCTTCAAGAACCTGAAATCCGAACAATGTGAGGGTGCAAGGAAGGGTTGGGTGGGGGATATCTGGACTGCTTTTATGTGCAGTTAGGAAATATTGTTTCTTTCTGTGTCTACCCTAATTTGTGCCAGTTGATCATTTTCTACAGTTCTACTGCAGCCACCGCTACAAAACATTTCATAAGAAATCCCCCTCTCATTCCTGATTTGGAAAGCTAAGTCCATTGAAGACTCTCTCCTCTGAGATGCTCCAGAGAAAACCGAATATACTGAAGGGCATCAGAGCTGGAAGCTTAGGGTGAAGTGAGAACACTTGTGTCTCTCTGTATTTTTATTGTCAGTACAAAATTAGGACTGGCTGGCTCTGAAGTTGAAAACACATAAACCAAGGTCTGGTATGTATGCCTACTGTGCTTCTATTTATACCCTGATAAGTTAAATGTAAATAGTGTTATTAAACGGTTGACTGCCAACATTTCTATTTGGGGTGCATTCAGTCATTAAAAAAGCAGAAGGGTGGAAACATTTACTGCTATGTTAAATATATTTATATGCTTTATGGCGCTGGATTCTGGCTACCTGAGATACTTCCGGAGGCTCGTTTGGGTATATTTAGAAAGATCATAAATTCTTGTGGTCTTGAGGGTGGTTTGGTGAATTAAGTCCCTGTAGGCTTTTGTAATTGAAAAGGTTAACACGGCTCCTTCAGATTCCTACCTGACCTCCCTCTCGCCTCTGGGAGCTTGTGCTGTGGGAGAATCAGACTCCTTTTTAATCACCACAGTTGTCGTGGTCTTTCAAAGAAGGTTCTGGAAGAAGAGAACACAACTGCCATGGGACTGCAAGGGTTTATGCTACTCGATCCCACACTTGTAAAACAGGGTTATTATTCACCTCCATCTGACAGGGTCATCATGGAAGTCCCAGAATACTGTTTGTGGAAGTGATTTGACAAAGATAAAGGGATGAGATGTATCTCTTCTGGAGATCACTAGACTTTGGACACTGAATAGTTGGGGAAGTCATGTGCCCTCTCACAGTCTCGATTTTATCACCTGTGAAATGGATATACTAATGCCTACCTCCTAGGCCTTTAGTAGAAATTAGACACAGTATGTGTGAAACTGTCAAGTAAGTAACAAAATACTTTCATTCATAATTATTTTGCAAAACTGACTGTGCCTAAAATAGGCTGCTGGGAGCTGAGGATGGAGATATTAATAGAAGCTGTCTGAGGAGCAGTTTTGACCTTCAAGTCAAAGGTCAGAGCTGCTGACCTTTGGCCTCAGCAGCTCTGGCTTTGGAACCTGTACCCTCCTCCTCCACTGGGCCCCCTCCCTCCCGCCCCCACCCCAGCTGTGGGTGTCAAGGAAATATAGGAAAGAGTAACTGGGTCTAAACTGTCCAAGCTAAGGAGGGAAGGCTGCACTCAATATGTCAGCAAATTTGGAAAACTCAGCAGTGGCCACAGGACTGAAAAATGTCAGTTTTCATTCCAGTCCCAAAGAAAGGCAATGCCAAAGAATGCTCAAACTACCGCACAATTGCACTCATCTCACACGCTAGTAAAGTAATGCTCAAAATTCTCCAAGCCAGGCCTCAGCAATATGTGAACCATGAACTTTCAGATGTTCAAGCTGGTTTTAGAAAAGGCAGAGGAACCAGAGATCAAATTGCCAACATTCGCTGGATCATCAAAAAAACAAGAGAGTTCCAGAACCACATCTATTTCTGCTTTATTGACTATGCCAAAGCCTTTGATTGTGTGGATCACAATAAACTGTGGAAAATTCTGAAAGAGATGGGGATACCAGACCACCTGATCTGCCTCTTGAGAAACCTATATGCAGGTCAGGAAGCAACAGTTAGAACTGGACATGGAACAACAGACTGGTTCCAAATAGGAAAAGGAATATGTCAATGCTATATATTGTCACCCTGTTTATTTAACTTATATGCAGAGTACATCATGAGAAATGCTGGGCTGGAAGAAGCACAAGCTGGAATCAAGATTGCAGGGAGAAATATCAATAACCTCAGATATGCAGATGACACCACCCTTATAGCAGAAAGTGAAGAACTAAAGAGCCTCTTGATGAAAGTGAAAGGGGAGAGTGAAAAATTTGGCTTAAAGCTCAACATTCAGAAAACTAAGATCATGGCATCCGGTCCCATCACATCATGGCAAATAGATGGGGGAAACAGTGGAAACAGTGGCTGACTTTATTTTTGGGGCTCCAAAATGACTGCAAATGGTGATTGCAGCCATGAAATTAAAAGACACTTACTCCTTGGAAGGAAAGTTATGACCAACCTAGATAGCATATTAAAAAGCAGAGACATTACTTTGCCAACAAGGTCCGTCTAGTCAAGCTATGGTTTTTCCAGTAGTCATGTGTGGATGTGCGAGTTGGACTATAAAGAAAGTTGAGTGCTGAAGAATTGATGCTTTTGAACTGTGGTGTTGGAGAGTCCCTTGGGCTGCAAGGAGATCCAACCAGTCCATCCTAAAGAAGATCAGTCCTGGGTGTTCATTGGAAGGACTGATACTGAAGCTGAAACTCCAATACTTTGGCCACCTAATGCGAAGAGCTGACTCATCTGAAAAGACCCTGATGCTGGGAAAGATTGAGGTCAGGAGGAGAAGGGGATGACAGAGGATGAGATGGTCGGATGGCATCACCAACTCAATGGACAAGAGTCTGGGTAAACTCCAGGAGTTGGTGATGGACAGGGAGGCCTGGTGTGCTGTGGTTCATGGGGTCACAAAGAGTCGGACACGACTGAGTGACTGAACTGAACTGAACTGTAGGAGGGTGGAGATTGGGGGCTCTGGTGAGTGGGTGGTTAGCTTTTATTGGCTGAGTCGTCCAATGCCAATGAACACAAAAGAATGGGACCAAAAGGAAAGAATGATGCTGAGTCTGGATAAAGGAGGGACATGGAGGCTGGAACAACGAGTTGCAAGACCTTGGATGAGAACGGCGAGCAAAACACAAGGTGTGTTATATTTTCACAGACATTGCCATTGTGCTCACATTTACAAGATGTGCTCTGTCTGCTTTTTGTGCGGCTAAGGATAGAGTGCTTCGAAGGTCCCACGTCTATGTTCAGAGAGGCCTTCTGCCATCCAGCCCATCACTCGGGTGATCTTAGTCCCCTGAGATGGGAGGTGGGGGTGGACACTGACAGGATTCTCTCAGAAATGACTTTCTTGTGATTTGTTCAGCTATTCCTTGCCTCAGCCAAACCAGAAAAACCACTGAGCCTGAGGTATTTGGCGTGGGTTATGGTGTTCTGGATCCTCTAAGGGCAAATGACTATAAAATGAAAATGGTTCCCTTAAAAGTTCACTTAGTACTTGGAGTGTGTGTGTGTGTGTGTGTGTGTGTGTGTGTGTGTGTAGGGAATTGTGTCCAACAAGGCTCTCACTTTTTCCAAATGAACTTCCCCAACCTAATTAAGAGCAAGTGCAAACAGATGGGAAGGGTGAATTTCATAACAGAAACGGGCTCTTCACGACTGACCGCCGGCAAATTTTTTTAAAAAGTGACTTTCCCTACTCTCCTATCTTTGGAGATTGTCCCTTTAAATGAGGTAGACAAGCTGGAGTTGTTTTCCTCCAAGGAATTTAAGAAAATCAACATGTTTTCCTTTCCCAGTTGCATCTGTGGTTCAATTGCTTAAAATATTTCACTCCTTAAAGTAACCTCCGTTTGTTATGGTGGTGGATTTGTTGTTTTATTCCCCCCCAACTTGGGGTGGTTTTTTTTTTTTTTGGCCTTGTTTTGTTTTGTTTTAAGGTGGAGAAGACCAGCTCCAGGAAAAGAAAAGAAAAAAAAAAAAAGACAACTTCTAGTTGTCAGAATAGGAATGCATATCAGTTATGCTGGGAGACAATGAAAACATCAAAAAGCACATACAAGCCATAAAAAATTCAGGTCCTCTGAAGCAATGTGGGACACGCTTGGTTGCGCTCCTCATTTGCATGTCAGTACCCACAATGCTCTGCAAGCTCCCAGATCTTTCTGAGCAGCCCCAGTGTCTGAGCTCTAGGGAACAAAGTGAAAGGTTCGTGTGTGCTGGTAGGTGAGGGAGGTACTTTGGTGTCTGCGGGGGGAAACGCCAGGCGGGTGCGGGGCTGTGACAGTGAGCTGCCGGCCCTTTAGGGCTTAATCACAGGCTAGAGACCCCGTACCTTGCCTGTCTGTGGTTTTGGGTTTTGTCTCTGTTGTTTATTGTATTTTTGCTTTTCGCCTCCTTCTTCTTCTTCCCTTTCCCCAGATGTGCGGCAGTGGTGAAGGTGTACAGGGCAGGAAGAGGAGGGCGTCAACCTTTAGAAGTCCTGGCTGGCGGGGTTGTTACAGCACTTGCCTGCAATTGGAGATTTTTGTGCAGAGTCCGTTTTCTGACTCGAGTCCTCGCCCTAAGATGCATTGGCTGTTTTTTTTCTTTTTATATTCAGGTTCCTGTGGACAGTCCTTGCTTGGTCGATGCAAAAGACAGTGGGGCCACTGTGACCTGCAGTGGAGGCAGGGGTTTCCCCTCTGCCCTGCCAACGGGGGACCCTCTGACCTCACTCTTTCCACCGACACCCGGTGCTCTTCCCTTCAAACTTTGCTCCCCAAGCCATCTACCAGCGCCATTGTCTGGATATTCCAAGTTCCAGGGGGTGGCTTGGGAATACAGGCTTCAAACTAAAAGCTGGAGGAGGAGGAAATAAGTTTGACCCCTGACTAGCACCCCCACCCCCACCCCCAGCCTCCTGGGTGGTCTTGGGTGCCATCACTTAGCATCTTCCATTTCTCCCTTCCTTCTCCAAGCTGTCCGGTCCCCAGGAGCTACAGAGGATCATGACTCTCATTCCACCTGTGATTTTAAAATGGCCTAGCATTCTGGGACATGACAAAATACATAAAAAAATAAAAGTAAAGCTCAATCTTTGAGGCTTCTACCTGGAAGGTTTTTGTCTGGGTTTGTACTTTGATTTTGGAGCTTTGCTTTTCTCAGTGCTGCAAAGGAGTTCTTAGGCTAGATTAATTTAGCAGTGGGACGATCTGGGCAGAAGAGCGAACGTGGATACATGTGGGCTCTCAACCCAGCCCCCGAAACCCCCCGTGCTTCAGAGGTGAGATAAAAGTCAGCCCCCACCCAGAATTCAGAAGCCGGCTGCCCTGCAAGCCAGATCCAGCCGACAGATTTGTTTTCTTCAGTCTGTACACAGTGTTGTAAAGTGCGTTGAATCAGTTGCCAAGCATTTGAAAATCAGGATCTTTTATAGCATCTCTTAAAACATCTGAAGATCTGGCCACTCTCGGCCTACATTTCTTCACAGCAACCGCCGGGCAGGGCTGCATAGACAGCGCCCCCTGGGGGACACTCTCTTCTCCTGCAGGGCCTGTGGTCTGGTTCGCCACGGGGCTCTCCGGCCCTTTGGTCTTAAGCCACCCACTCCACTGACATATGTTCCTGTCTGAATTTTGTAGGCTCTTGCCTGCTAGGTCCCAGCCAGAATCCCTGAGTTTTTCTGCTTTATTACCAGTAGCACTGGCATAGGGATGACCCAGCCCTCAGCTCGGACCGTTTCTCACACTGGGAATAAAGGGGAGCCAAGACCAAGGGCCTCATCTCACAAACCCTCCCAGCTTTTCCATTCCCAGCCCCCCAAGTGCGCTCTCCTTTCACAAATGTGTTTTTCACCTGCACAGTCCCAGGAATCCACTCTGGCCTCCCGAGCCTCCTCTTGGTATGCATATTTTCCTTCGTTTCTGATGCCTGAAGTAGTCCGGGGTGAGGGGTGGGTTGCAAGGTTAGGATTTTTTAAAATTCCTTCTCTGATTTGTTGTGTCTAATTTGGGCTGCAAATGGTTTTTGGTGTCAACGACTAACCACTGTTTGGTCTGCACAGCCATCTCTGTTGAACTTGGATGACAGCAAAAGCCCAGTTTCCCCAAATAAAGTCTAAATACATTTACACATTTATTCCCACATGCGTCTTTATGTTTCTGCCTGTCTCACCACACCTCAGACATGGCCATGGATGGGAGCGTCCTGGGAAGAAAATGGGCAGGTAATTTGACCTTTTACTGTAAACTTCACAAAAGAAAAAAAAAAAGCGGTGGAGGAGTAAGAAAGATGCTTCAGAGCAAGGATGTTAGAATGAGAACTTAGACTGCAGTGGGTTGTTACCTCAGGGACAAAAAATATCCCTAGAGAGAAGAATGGGAAATAAAGAAGAGAGTTGAGAAAAATAAGGGAGGCGGTCACTTTAAAAAATTAGCTAATCCCCCCAAAATATCTAATTGAGATTCTTCACCAATATTATAACCTTAAATACATTTAATGTTTTCAGTGGTCAAAAAATGAAGATGAAGGCATCTGATCCCATCACTTCATGGCAAATAGATGAGGGGAAAGTGAAAACAGTGACAGACTTTATTTTCTTGGTCTCCAAAATCACTGCGGATGGTGACTGCAGCCATGAAATTAAAAGACCCTTGCTCCTTGGCAGAAAAATTATGACCAACCTAGACAGTATATTAAAAAGCAGAGACATCACTTTGCTGATAAATGTCCACCTAATCAGACTATGGTTTTTCCAGTAGTCATGTACACATATGAGAGTTGGACTATAAAGAAGGCTGAGCACCGAAGAATTGAAGGTTTCAAGTTGTGGTACTGGAAAAGATTCTTGAGAGTCCCTCAGTCAGCAAGGAGATCAAGCCAGTCAATCCTAAAGGAAATCAATCCTGAATATTCACTGAAAGGTCTGATGCTGAAGCTGAAACTCCAATACTTTGGCCACCTGATGTGAAGAGCCAACTCATTGGAAAAGACCCTGATGCTGGGAAAGATTGAGGGCATGAGAAGGAGGGGTAAACAGAGGATGAAACGACTGGATGGCATCACTGACTCAATGGATATGAGTTTGAGCAAATGCCGGGAAATAGTGAAGGACGGGAAGCCTGGCATGCTGCAGTTCATGGGGATCACAAAGAGTCAGACACAGCTGAGTGACTGAACAGCAACAGTGTTTAATGTTTACTAAGTTATGAGACAATTCTAGCAACAGGTGATGCCAGGTTTTACTAACACTGATGATGACAGTTATTGTTGATGGAAAGTTCACTCTGTCCTAGGAACAGGCTTTTGTCCTTTGACTTCTTTAATCTTTATAACAAGTCTGTAAGGTCGGTGTGTTGTTCCCACTTGACAGGTGAGAGAACTGACACTTAGCGTGATTAAGTAATTTGTCCACAGTCCCAGAGGTGGAAAGGAATGGAGTTGGTATGCAGACTATGCTGCCCCCCAGCACAATCTGGGCCTGGACAGCAAGAACTGATGCCCCCCCCCCCACCCCTGGTACCCTCACCGGCTGACCAGAGTAAGGATCTGAAATAGGGCCTGCTTCAGTCATGATGGGCTTGGGAACTGGTACATTGGAGAGCCTGAGAAGGCTAGAGAGAAACAAATGGTGTATTTGCCCCAAAATTGCATTGCTAAAAATGACCCCCAGGGATATACCATGGGGAGGTGGGCTCCCCTCCAGTGAAACCCTTGATCTTCATAGATGATCCTACTCTAGACCAGTTGATAGAATGGGGATACTGCCTGGCAGATTTGATGGTTTCTTCACCCTGAACACATGTGGCTGGGTAGAGGACACCAAGGGTATTCCTTGCCTGATGGGGCTGGGGCCCAGCTGAACTGACAAGGCCATATCCGAAGCAAAGTCAGGATAGAGAGGCAGAGTTGGAATTGAGAGGAAGTTCCATCTTCCTCTGCACCACATCTGAGGAGAATGGTGAGGATGAAATGGGGATCTGAGCCTCAGGGTACATGGTTGGAGAGAGATGAGTGTTGTTAGTAAACCCTGAGTTGGAACGGGGTCACTCTTTATACAGTGATGGTCAGATGCAGGCAGTTGCTGAAACAAGCTGGGCTGGGCTGAAGGCTCAACCTTTATATACCCCTGCCCTGGATGTTGGGCTCCTAAAGGG